CCAGTAACGCATTACGCCGAGAAATAGAGAAAGACATGAGAAGAATGAACTAAAACTGGAAAGAACTGGAAACGAAGGTTGAGGACAGAGTAGGTTGGAAAATGTTGATGGCGGCCTATGCTCAGGTGTATATGTGAACCGATAAAAAAAAATCCTAAGCTATATCCATCCTTATTGCCCGAGTGACCACTAATAGATAATAACTTTTGTTAGACCACCATTAGAAACCTCAAAGCACTGGACGGTCATTTCGTCCAGGTGTAGGATTCATCAACTCCCACTACTCACAGGATTCGAATACAGAGCCTTCGATCTTGCACGAGAACTCCTAACCTCTGAAACATGGAGCCGACATCTAACGGTGCTAATGTCTAACTTCGATCAATTCACTACTGATGAGTCCCATGCCAGGACGAAACTGTCGTCTTTCAGTGCTTCCAGGTTTCTAATGATGGTCTGACATTGATCGATTCATGAATTCAAAAGAAGCAACTAAACAATCTTCACAAAGCAAGGGCAGCATTTCTACAAGTGAAGAACATCTGGAACTCAAAACAACCATCAACTAACACTGGAGTCACAATTTTCAATGAAGATGTCAGGGCGGTCCCATTGTATGAGGTGGAAACTTTGACAACTACCAAAGCCATCATCCTCAAGTTACTAGTGTTTATTAACAGTTGTCTAAGCAAAATACTTCGCATCCGTTGGTCAGACACCATCAGCAACAGCCTACTGCATCACAAGACAAACCCTCACTTGGGATCCTAAAGGTCAAAGGCAAAGAGGAAGACCAAAGTACTCGTTGCATCGATAAATGGCGACAGACATGAAAAAAATGAACAAAAGTTGGATAGAACTGGAAAGGGCGGTCCTGGACAGAGTAGGTTGGAGAACACTGGTCGGCTGCCTATGGTTCATTAAGAGAAAGTAAGTGCATAGGTAAGTAAGTGCATAAGTAAGTGAGTAAGTGTATAAGTAAGTAAGTAAGTAAGTAAGTGCATAAGTAAGTAAGTAGGTAAGTGCATAAGTAAGTAAGTAAGTATGTAAGTAAGTAAGTAAGTCAGCAAGTAAGTAAGTCAGTAAGTAAGTAAGTAAGTACGTCAGTCAGTCAGCAACTAAGTAGGTAAGTCAGCAAGTAAGTAAGTAAGTAAGTAAGCCAGCAAGTAAGTAAGTAAGTCAGCAAATAAGTAAGTAAGTCAGCAAGTAAGTAAGTAAGTAAGTCAGCAAGCAAGTAAGTAAGTAAAGTAATCGATTTTCAAAGATCAACACTGGAAAATATTCAAATATGAAATCGGTCATTCTGTCTGAAAATCTCGTTATTAGCACGAGGAAAGCTGTAGTCTGAATAATTCAGCAATAACGTTTCGAACTGTAAAACTAGGTGAACCACTATCCAAATAGTAGTTGAAACGCCAAAAATTTTCTTCAACACGAGATCTTAGCCATGTATATTGTAGCAATGATTTCAAGATTTACTGTTGATTGTCTATATCTGGTCACTATTTCGTTTTATTCACAACTTTTTACATTTTAAGACAGTTTAACCATGAAATTTTCAGAGATACAATTGTAATCAATCGTCAGCATCTGGATAAACTTGACGATTACTCACACTTGTACTATGGATGGTGAAGAGATGATCAGTTTATTTTGTCAAAGAATCATTCATTAAAACTACGGCTTTGTGGGCCATCTCAATGGGAATCGCTCGTTATAATTCTTCCTATGTTGTGACATGGAAATGCGAATTTACAAACAGTACGTTAACCTCATGTTCTCATATGAACTGTTATGTGAAATGATAGTTAACAATGACTGTATTTTGCATTTGAGGATATTAGTTTAACGATAATTCTGATAACGGACAAGACTGAAGACCATATCTGTTTCAGTTCTCAACTCCTCAATACTTCATCACAGTTGATTGTCAGATAAAGCTTATGTCTGCACATACAGTTGGATTGGTGATATGAAAAGGTCTCCAGGTGCGACCGATATCATGTATTCATTCATTGTCATCGCACATTCTTAAACAAATAAATCACATTGTGGTGCAAGCTACTTATAAGTAGTATATGACGTGAGTGTCAACGTAATGTCTGGCAACAGAAGATGGGGGAAGATCAAGAAAGGAAGAGTTAGAAGAACACAATGGAATTTGTGTGAGACGCATGAATAGTGAGTGACAATGGATTGATGTTTTGCAACAGAGGAACAGTCCAGTTCGATATGATCGGTCGATATTTTGCAAATGAACGATTTACGATATGGTTTTCCGATTTTACTGAATAACTCTGTAATATTCGTAAATACAATCCGGTTGCCCCACCTGTGTTCTCGTTCACTACAACATCAAACACAGCAAGCAAGTAATAATCAGTCATCCGAAAGTAATTTCTTCAATCAAGTTAGAAGTGGGTTTGTTTTGGAATTGCTAAGGCGTTCTCAAACCAAACGCTTACTGAATGAATACATTGTAATCATGAATGAATGATTGTTAGGTCAACATTAGAAACATGAAAGCACTGAACGGCTGTTTTGTTCAAGTATGGAACTCATCAGCAGTGTGTATCCACAACTTCCGGTACCTCTAGGAATAGAACATCAGGACCTTCAGTTTTGCGCATGTACGCTTAACCTCTGAACCACTAAGCCAACATTCAAAGGTGTTAATTTCTAACTCTGATCAATCTAAGAATTATGCTCAACCTCACCCATTTGTCTTTGGTAGTTGCTGTCTACATCCGACAGGGTTCAACTCTACTGGTCACACGTCCCAACGATCTCTATAATACTCTTTAAAGCGAAAACTACTGTTTACGTTGACTTGCACAACTGATTTCACTTGCTGGTAAATGTAACATAGTAATATTCTCACTTGTTTAGGTAAAACTCAACTAGGCTGTCGTATTCTCCTAGTTCGAGAGTCTTTTACTTCTTTGACACGAATATTTCCGGCATATTTACATCAACAACTGAATGAAATCTTAAAAATACTTTCGTACAGAGAATTAAATTGACACTGAATTCATTTAGAATCCTTTTAGCGCGTACAATACCACCTGTATTACATAACTGTTTTTATTCTAAGACGTTGTGATCATAGTCGACTATAACAGTGTCTTTTCAAACTGTTATTTATTCAGTCGATAAGCCTATTCTAACACGATGAAGAGGATGATTCATACTAGACAACGATCATTTCGACTGTTTTTATAATTTTAACTAACTGGTTTAAACTCATTTAATCCAGAGTAGCATATCTGTAGTGAACGAGAACACAGGTGGGGCAACCGAATTGGATTTAACGAAAATTACAGAGTTATTCAGTAAAATCGGAAAACCATATCGTAAATCGTTCATTTGCAAAATATCAGTCCATCATATCGAACTGGACTGTTCCTGTTGCCAAACATCAATCCGTTGTCACTATTCATGCGTTTCATACAAATTGCATTGTTTTCTAACTCTTCCTTTCTTGATCTTCCCCCCATCTTCTGCTGCCAGACATTACGTTTACACTCACGTCATATACTACTACTTATAAGTAGCTGGCACCACAGTAGTTTTCACTGTTGACCAACATTTAGCATCTATTTCTCACTGAAAAGCTTCCATATGAATTTGATGTCATACATTATTCTCTAGATCCCCATCGGGTTGACTATTTCGTTTTACACATTAACGGAATCCATCAAGCAACTGTTTAATTGTGGATTGTGTGTGTCTAGATGAACAGAGTGATTCGACCGATATGCAATTAGCAATTTCTCACTGTGTATTTCGCTAGTTCAAGTTTAAATTTTATGTTTCATCGACAATCTTCAATTTCGTCAGATCTAAGTCTATTCGAATTGGCTAGAGACAGTGAGTGAACAGCCAACTTCGGTAAGCTTCAATAATAGGTTAGTGAAATTAACGAAGTTGTCATCACGCCATGTGTTTTTTCATGGAGTGAACAGCATCAATTCTGAGATGCAAGTACATCCATCTGGCTACAGACAGACGGGGCCAGTATAAGATGAAACGCGTGTCCTGTGTTCTACATGTTCACTTACTGCCTACCATGATCACCTTTTTGAAGATAATTCAGTCTATCGTTTAACGCTACAATTTCTGTCATGTTCCTGATACACAATGTCAAGGTAATGAAGGTGAAATAAGTTAGGTATGAAGAGTTTATGAGTAAGGTATCGATCGAGTATCGAAATAAATTCAACATAGTATCACACAATACATTAACACAACTATTCGTCGTTCTATGCATGGTCAAATCGTTCAGTTCATTCAATGATCAATGATTATCATGATTATCGTTTAAAACAAACTAAACCAAATACTGGGTTTATTCAATAAACACTGATATTTTCTACATAAACATTATTTGTCGTGTTCCAGTTAGATTCTGTGACTGAATCAAAATTACTTCAATGAGATTAAACATGATTTATTTTATTATAAGTTTGAATTTGAGAAAGAAATATGTTCACTGCACATACAGAATGTGAATTACATACTGAGTTACAGATATGCCCATGTATTCACAAATAAAAACAGCCTCAATACACATGGCAGCTTGTCATTATTACCGGTCATTATATTCACAATTGACACTGCTCACATAATGATAAGACTGTTGATGTAATAATGACTGACTACAGGGCACCAAACTAACGGACTACGAATGCCAGTAAAAGAATGATGGACAAGAGTAAAATAGGAAAATACAGAATTTTACAGGGAAATAATCAGAGATGAAAAGTAATGTGGATCTACAATGTATTACTGAAAACTAAGATGAATTTAATTTCAAGGACTGAAGTGCCATAGATCGATTGATCGATCGATCAACTGACTGACTGACTGATAGCATAATTCTCTGAGGCAAAATGAAGTTGTATTATACGACTGGTAGAGATAAATTCAAATTGCAGTTAGTCATAAAAGCAGGTGATTTATGTCGATTAATCGATCCATATCATAACGTTGCATTGTATGAAAGACTAGTAGAGATGAATGAATTCAAATTTGAAATTCACATTGATTGATTGTGAATGAATGTCAGGCGTCGGAAACATTGCACATCCATACGTGCTGAGCAACTGTTTTGAGTAAGTAAGTCTTGCTTCAAATTTCTTCATTCATGTGTTCATATGCTAGGGTTTTACTGACTGACGAAATCTCAGCACGGATACAGAAAGCTCGATTGGCTTTTGCCAACCTGCGTCATTTATAGCGTAGGCGTGATATCCGTTCGCTAACCAAAGGATGGGTGTACTGCGCAGCAGTTCGCTCCGTTTTCCTATATGGCTGTGAAACATGACCGTTAAGAGTAGAAGATATTCGTGGGTTTCTAGTATTCGATCATAGATGTCTTAGAAGCATTGCTCGTATATCGTGGGACAACCGAGTAAGCAATGCTGTAGTTAGGAAACGAGAACTAGGTAAGGATGGCAGATCAGTAGATGAAGTGTTGAAACTTCATCAGTTGAGGTGGTTGGGACATGTGTTACGCATGCCAAACCACGAACTGCCGCGACGAACTATGTTTTTTGGTGTAGGAGTAGGTTGGAGGAAAGTTAAGGGCGGCCAAACCATAATATGGCAAAAATCCATGAAGTCACTGACAGTTGGACTGAGTCATGTTGGTAGATGTAGGCTGTCTGGTTGAGGTCCGCGAGACGAAATTCACCAATGGTTAGAGACCTTGAATGTGACATGGATCAAAATCGTTTGCAATGGCGCAAGTGCATCCATTTTTTGAGCTCTCTCAAATCCTGATCTTCTGGATTCGTCAGCATCCCTACCTTTGTCTTTCTCAACTTATCTTACTGAATTATACTTCTTGAATAATATCTTCAATGCCTAGTCTTCTTCATTACCATTAATACCTCTACTATTTTTATCACTATGTGATTTGATTTGACATTTGCGTCTTTGTGCTAATGTGGTATGACAACATGAACTTATGTACATGCGTACGTAGTTCTACGTTGCAACTGACTAACTGACTGACTGATCTTACAATGATGTCGTTCTGTGTATTATTACTTATCGACTATGTTGAACGGTTTGCATAACGATGATTGGTGATGTGCTGTTGATAGACTTCATTTAGATAAACTGCACCATCGTCTGATTTTCACTGAGATTTCAACTGCTCCCTACCACGTAGGTCAGTCATTGTAGCAAACATGACTATTGTTGAATATTGAAGACAGTTTCCATTGAAAGTGATTGCCAACTGTAGAATCTCTCACCACTATCAAATATTTCCTTAGATTTTGATTAATGTCAGTAGTCTGTGACAGCAACAGTCTCCAAAATGTCAAGCACAATCTTAGCATTATTATGCTGACTATGAAGTGTATGTAAATTTATTGAAATTCACCATTATTAACTTGAAAATATCTTCAGCATTGCTAACGAGATACTCGACTGAACTTGACAGTAGCTAATAGAACAATAAAGTCAACAAGCATTACTTTACTCCCATTCTTTTTGTTTTTTTACAGTTCACTTAAACAACAATGATGCCTGAATCGACAAAAGAGCATTTATCTGCACAAATTCATGAAACCTGGTTGAAATGTATCGATTCTGGGGAAATGACATGGACAATGGAACAACAAGATGATTCGTTGACAGGTTTAGATTGGTTAATTGTAAGTATAATGAGAAAATTGCATGAATTGTATTCTATTATATTCTGTTTGAATAAAGTGGGAACAATATTGGTTGATATTTGTACAGGGGAATGGGTTCGCGAACTTACCTAAAAAGAAACCAAAGAGCAACCGACCTATTCAACATAATAGTCTGGAGTGATTAGTTTAAGCTGAAGTGGTGAAAGGAGAATGGTGTGAAGTTTTACACGACGATGCAGTGTTAATCAGAAGTCGCCAATGGCGTTTTGAGTGAATGTCAGTGGGGTGTTTCACTCAACGTTGTAGGTCATATTGAAGAGCTAGTATGAATGAGTGAATGAATGATGAGTTTGTCATACTCGGTATGTGTGTGTACGTACAAAGGTCAGATGGGAAGTGATTGATGGCAGTGACCTCTGCAGAACGAAACAAAAGTGGTTCACATTGGATATTTAATATTTGGGTTGTTGTTGACACATGTACATTTATGTTCACTCACTACTATCCAGTACATGCTTGATGATCTGACTTGTGAAAACTGCGCTAGACATAAATCGTTTACGTGGAATATGTTGCGGAAAACCTTGTAGATAACGTTTCTTCCAGTCTTTCCTATGCATTTAGAGAGGTGATCACAGAAGTGTATTAGTTTGATATTGAGTGATTTAAGGAACATTCGATGTGCCATGCATCTAAGATAGTAGTCGGCTTCCAGAGAAGCTTATCGTTTAAAGCAACTTGATAATGAATTCATTTAACTTTTGATATACAAAGTTGCCCTTCTAACCCATATATACATATACTTCATCTTTTCCTCTTTATACAACTAAATTTCTTGTCAGAATTTCAATCGAACTGTCAATATGATTTCATCATTAACTGCCATAACAAAAGAAACAATCGGAACTGGAGCAATAACACCAGCGACAACAACAACAACAGCGGGCAGTGAAGTCGAATGCATCAGCGCAGAATTCTTACGTCATACACCATCATCATCATCACCACCATCATCATCATCACCATCATCATTATCATCGTCATGGTGGTCGTCGTGAATTGCGACATCTTTCATCATAGTACATCGAAAATCAATTGTAAAATATGCTTCTGACATCAGTCAGGATTATTTCCTTTCTTATTGCTGTCACTCAAAGCCATCCGTGTTAAACTGTTTCGCACCATTGCAACATTGAAACACACAGTTAATAAGATGATTGACTGTTGAAACTATTGTACGTTGATTGGTACAGTGTTTGTGTGCGAAAGTTGTGTGTGTATGTGTGTTAAGTCTGTGTGTGTATGTTTGTAACAGATCTATTCCCCACTAGTCGCGTTAAGTGGTGGCTTGATACACTGACTGATGTGATCATCCTTTATCTTCTCCAATGTCTACGACTAACTAGATGAAGAACATTCAATCATATTCAACACAAACTCACTTGCATTGATTAGTACTTTTCAAATACTTATTGTTTTCGCTGAACTCTACTATTATTCTAATGTTTTTCACAATATTTTTTAAACGAACACACATATGTATTATGTAAGTAGTATTTTATTTGTTAAACAACATTTTAAATATATATATTTATATTTATAGAAATGAATTTCTCATTGAAATCAACTAGTTCCCCTGTTCTTATTTATCAATTGCGTTCTCTTAGTATGATCAAAAATGAGGTATAAGGACGTGGCTATTGTACTGAGATTAGATTCGTCTGACTTTTATCATCGGTCAGACAAATGTTTGAATTACCATGAAGTCAATTGAATAGCAGTTGTTTCGTCTTCCAGTGAGACTCTCTATCCACACACACACACACTTCGGTCATCCTATCAGTAAGTGTTGTTGCTACCTAGTGTTGTGGACGTAAAACCCTGGTGAGGGCATTACAGAGTTGTTAGGCATGTATACAAAAGCTTCCCGTGAATCATTCATTTGCAAACTAATCCTTATTTGTTTCAGTGTTTTTTTTCATTTAGACGGTCAGTACTTTAGTTCACTTTACGTTGCCATACAAATCGCCTTCTATTCTCATTCTTTCCTTCTCGATCCTTTTGCTGTCAGACGTTTGATTTCCATTTGATATCATATACTACTTAAGTGAACATAAGTAGCGTACACCACACTAGGACCATCAAGTTCTCATTATGAATGTTTAGTCCATCAGACCACCAAGTTCCCATGGAACAGTCGTTTGCATTTCGTTATCTCAGATAATCCACAATATCACATGATCATCATTATCGACCACCAATGTCTCATTCTCTTGATCATGCCTGCTCACTTGAATTCCAGTGGTCACCTGTTGAGGCGATTCATTAAGTAACAATATAATTGTAGTGAAGGTGAACACAGATGAGGGCAATTGAATTGTATTTAACGAAAATTACAGAGTTACTCAGTAAAATAGGAAAACCATATCGTAACCGTTGTTAATTTGCAAATCTTCAATCCATCATCAATCCATTGTCTGACATTTCACTATTCATGCGTTTCATACAAATTCCATTGTGTTCCCACTCTTCCTTTCTTGGTCTTCCCCCATCTTCTGCTGCCAGACATTACGTTTTCACTCCCGTCATATACATATACTACTTATAAGTAGCGCGCACCACAGAATGACTGTTGTTATGGGTAGTTATTTTGCCATGTATTTTTCACTTATTGATTTTCCAAAAGCACCGGCTGTTATTTCTGGTCACTTTTTTACGTTAACGTGCATGCGTAACAGAAACAGTATAAAATTATAGTTGTGATGAATAAAGAAAGCGTGTAGTAGTATTTGTCATAAGAGTGGGGATAAGAAGGCTTTGATGACATTTAGTTCATGTATACATATAGTCTAGGTAATCCAATGGTAACATTGATAAAGATTAGTAATGAAGTGAATGACCAATATATTTTTATTTAACTATTGGGGATGTTAGATCCCCAAAACTCGCTTGTTAAATGCCCCGATTTTGGTTTTCACGTTTGCCAGCATGGGTTGATCATTTGACCTTGAGATTTCAATTCCCACAAGGAAAATCCATGGCTGTGTGATTGGTTGCTGTGTATTTTAGTGTGCTATTTTTTTGTAACTGTCCCAAGGACGTTTCTATGATGTATAAATAAACGAGAGTTGTGTGCTTGATTGTACTGTGTGATTGCTGGGTGTTTGTAGAATATACTTTCTACGCTTATCAAGACTTCTGTTTTGCAGTTTTGGGATCAAGGTAGCCTACCTGAACGCTAGTAAAAGTCTCGTTCGCGTTTATCGACTAAAGTGAACCCGTAATAGATTCAAGCGTACCTAGTTACGAACCTAACGATAACATCCTTTAAAAAGATGAGCTACTCAGAGTTGCAATGCTGTTTTATGAGGTATATCTTTTATAAAATCCATTTTCATGGAAAATGTAGTTTATATTTATGTACTCCTTCGTTTGCTCACTCACCAGAGTCCTCCTATCATCTTCAGTAGTATTCGTAGTAATATAAATGAT